AAAAAAAAAAAGGCGGGGCACAGAGGCTCACACCTATAATCCCAGCACTTGGGAGGCTGAGATGGGTGGATTGCCTGAGCTCACAGGTTCAAGATCAGACTAGCCTAAGCAAAAGCGAGACCCCGTCTCAATGTCTCAAAAAAATAGGCAGGCATTGTGGTGGGCACCTGTAGTCCCAGCTACTCAGGAGGCTGAGGCAAGAGAATTGCTTAAGTCCAAGATTTTGAGGTTGCTGTGAGCTGTGACACTACGGCACTCTACCAACTGTGACAGATGGCACTCTAACAAGTGTGACAAAGTCATACTCTGTCTCAAAAAAAAAAAAAATTAATGACTTATAGGTGGCTGCGGAGGAAAGAGAGAGAGCCCAGCAGAACCAGCCCCAAACATGGGTTTCTCTGTGCGCTCTGCTCCCCACTCCACTGTCCCAAGCCCTGTGCAGGATGTGTGCCCACTAGTACTATGATTGATTTCCTGCTCCTGTCTGCCCACGTGGTCTGCACTTGTGGGTCTACACCAGCAATGAGAGTCCTGACCTCATGCAGAGCCAGACCAGGGCCTTCTTCACAAAAACAGGTCTCTAATCAATGTGCTCTGAGGCTGCTGCTAACTGCTCACCCTGCCTCTCCTCTCTCCCAGTCTGTGGACGGCCAGTCATCCCCATTGCCCAGAATCAGACGACCCTTGGTTCTTCCAAAGCTAAGTTGGGAAACTTCCCCTGGCAAGCCTTTACCAGCATCTACGGCCGCGGGGGTGGGGCCCTGCTGGGGGATAGATGGATCCTAACCGCTGCCCACACGATCTATCCCAAGGACAGTGTCTCTCTCAGGAGGAACCTGAGTGTGGACGTGTTCCTGGGCCACACAGACATAGACGAGATGCTGAAACTGGGAAACTACCCTGTCCGCCGTGTTGTCATGCACCCAGACTACCGTCAGAATGAGTCCCACAATTTCAATGGGGACATTGCCCTCCTGGAGCTCCAGCACAGTGTGCCCCTGGGCCCAAGCATCCTTCCCGTCTGTCTGCCCGACAACGAGACCTTCTACCGCAGCGGCTTGCTGGGCTATGTCAGTGGGTTTGGTGTAGAGATGGGCTGGTTAACTACTGAGCTGAAGTACTCAAGGCAGCCCATAGCTCCGAGGGAGGCCTGTGAGGCCTGGCTCCGAGAGAGGCAGAGGCCTGAGGTGTTTTCTGATAACATGTTCTGTGTTGGGGATAAGACACAGAAACACAATGCCTGCCAGGGGGACAGTGGTAGTGTCTATGTGGTATGGGACGATCATGCCCATCACTGGGTGGCCACAGGCATCGTGTCCTGGGGCATTGGGTGTGGCACAGGGTATGGTTTCTACACCAAAGTGCTCAACTATGTGGACTGGATCAAGGGAGTGATGGACAGCAAGGACCAACCCTAGGACACTGAGCGGTGACCAGTCAGCACTGTGGAGACCCCGGTCAAGAGAGGGTTCAGAGTCAGGACTAACCCCTGGGGGCTGGAGATCAGGGGACCCCTACTGAAGTCAGCAAGCCACTGTGCGAGAAAAGTCCTCCTCCCTCAAGCCTACACCAGCCCAGAGAGAAAGCAGAGTCCCATAGCCCCTTCTCCCCTCTCTACCTCCCTGCACATTTATCCTATGCCTAGGCAACTTTCACCATGAAAATCCTTCAAATTCCCCTCCCTGACGTTATTTCTTAGCACAGCATCTTCCATACTCAGGTGTGGAAGAGTCACTTTCTTACCCCCTGGAGAGAGGAGTCCCTTCTCCCCTGGAGAGAGGAGTCTTAATTGCATTTCATTTCTGAAACATTCCAAAGACTCTTTAGTTGACCTTCAAATAGTCAAGCTACTGGCTTCACCACCTACCAACAACCCCTGGATGCAATTAGAATAATAGCTCCCTTTTTGCTTTACGTCTTCTACATGCCAGGTGCTCCACAGGTTATTTCGCTTCATCCTCACACCGTATTTGCAAAAGATGTGTCACTATCTACGTATTACAAATGAGGAAACTGAAGCTTGGGGAGATAAAGTGATGTGTCCAACTGTGGGACTGTGAAGGCCATGCTCTTCCCAGGATGCTGTACCTCTCAGCTGTCCTCAATACCTGCTGCATCACCCACTGCCCTGTCCCAGTCCCTACATCCTTACAATTCAGAATCCTTGCTTCTGTGACAATGGCATCATCTGGCTCGCACTTTCCTGCTGGCCCCATCTTCTGTAGACACCAAGGTGAGCCTACCCCAGGACTAAAGTTCCTGCAGACACCCCAGCCTGTCCCCCCACTATTGAGGGCTCTGCTTCACCTAAGAAGACCAAGCTCTTTAATTTTTAGTAAAGATTTGAGATGATTTACAGCGAAAGATACAAAGAAAAGACACCTGTGGCTCGGCGCCTATAGCTCAACCGGCTAAGGCGCCAGCCACGTACACCTAAGGTGGCGGGTTCGAATCCCCAGCCCGGACCCGCCAAACAACAATGACGGCTGCAACCAAAAAATAGCTGGGCGTTGTGGCGGGCGCCTGTGGTCCCAGCTACTTGGGAGGCGGAGGCAAGAGAATTGCCTTTAAGCCCAAGAGTATGAGATTGCAGTGAGTGGAGGTTGCTGTGAGCTGTAATGCCACGGCACTCTACCCAGGGGGACAGCTTGAGGCTCTGTCTCAAAAAAAAAAGAAAAGACACCTGTTCAATGAAAACAAAATGAATACCATAAAACAGAGAGGAGGGCAAATTTGTTAGCATTGAGAGTCAAGTTGCTGTGTAGCCAGAGATTAAATTTCTCCTTGAGAGATAGCAGTATTCAAAGTTGTACACACATGTGGTCACTTCTGTTTTTTAAACCTCTATACAGTACCAAAAAATTATTAAAAATATTCTCAAAATACTTAACAGACGTGGTTGTACTCAGTGTGTGATTGTGGCTGTTTGGTTTCCCTCTATTGTCAATTGGCTAAATGTTATTTAAACGAGCATGTGTCATTTTAATTTACTTTATTTTCTTATTTTCATTTAGCAGGCCCAGGCCAAGTTCAAACCCACCAGCCCTGGTGTATGTGGCCAGCACTGTAACCACTGAGCTACAGGTGCCCAGCTATATTCTTATTTTTGAAAAAATGATTTTAATTTTTCCTTGCCAAGGCAAAAATTGATATAGCTATACCAATATATGTATTTCTCTTGTTCATGATGAGAAACAGATTTATCCATAGAGAAAACCTACCATTACTTACTATAAAAGAGAAACTTGTTTCCCCTGAATCAGATCCTAAGAGGGATAACAGACCATGTCTTCAATACCAGTTTTAAGAAAAATGCAGGAGCAATCCTCATAGGGCTGTTTCTTCTTTCTAATTTTTGTACAAGTCAAGGATACAACAAGAATGTGTGAGTAAAAGTCATTTTGAATGGGTGGACAGAGTAGAACAGAGCTGGGACTGGGGTAATGAGGTCCAGGTTGGCCACTTTCCAGTCACGGTGTGTGATTCCAGGACAGAACTCAGAATCCCTGGGACAGAGGGCAGAGCTTCAGCTAAGACTTACTGGCACCTTCTAGACCACTTCCTCCTTACCTGTTCCTTCTGCCCCCATCATGAATATGCAACATGCGCTTGTGTGTACACACACATACACAGTGCTGTTGGGATACTAATATGCAATTTGCTAGATGAGATTCCCCTTCTTTCTCATCCTCTGATCTGGTGATTTTCCTTCTCCCCTATCCTTTGTCTTTCCTGACCTAATGAGGCCATGGATCAGGTCACAATCAACTCAAGGACCCACCCTGCTATCAGATTCATTCTCCAGCTCCAACACATGAGCCTGCAGGAGAAACACTACCAGGGGTATCCAACCTTTTTTTCTCTTTCTGCTGCACACTGTCAGAATAAGAGTCGTCTTGGGCCACATATTAAATACAAAAACACTGGCTCATGCCTGTAATCCCAGCACTCTGGGAGGCTGAGGTGGGCAGATGGCCTGAGTTCACCAGTTCAAGACTAGCCTGAGTAAGAGCAAGACCCTGTCTCTGAAAATAGCCAGGTGTTGTGGTGGGTGACTGTAGTCCCAGCAACTCAGGAGGCTGAGGCAAGAGAATTGCTTGAGTCTAAGAGTTTGAGGTTGCTGTGAGCTATGATGCCACAGCACTCTACCAGGGGTGACAAAGTGAGATTCTGCCTCAAAAAATAAAAATAGGCTCGGCGCCTATAGCTCAACCGGCTAAGGGGCCAGCCACGTACACCTAAGGTGGCGGGTTTGAATCCCCAGCCCGGACCCACCAAACAACAATGACGGCTGCAACCAAAAAATAGCCGGGCGTTGTGGCGGGCGCCTGTGGTCCCAGCTACTTGGGAGGCGGAGGCAGGAGACTCGCTTGAGCCCAGGAGTTGGAGGTTGCTGTGAGCTGTAATGCCACGGCACTCTACCCAGGGGGACAGCTTGAGGCTCTGTCTCAAAAAAAATAAAAATAAAAAAATAAAGGGCGGTGCCTGTAGCTCAATGGGTAGGGTGCCAGCCACATACACTGAGGCTGGTGGGTTTGAACCCGGCCCAGGCCAGCAGGCTTTGTGGCGGGTACCTGTAGTCCCAGCTACTTGGGAGGCTGAGGCAAGAGAATTGCCTTTAAGCCCAAGAGTATGAGATTGCAGTGAGCTATGACACTACAGCACTCTACCAAGGGAGACATAGTGAAACTTGGTAGAGTGAAACAAAAAATAAAAATAGGGATGGCGCCTGTGGCTCAGTGAGCAGGGTGCTGGCCCCATATACCATGGGTGGTGGGTTCAAACCTGGCCCTGGCCGAAGTGCAACCAAAAAATAGCCAGGCGTTGTGGTGGGCGCCTGTAGTCCCACCTACTTGGGAGGCTGAGGCAAGAGAATCACTTAAGCCCAGGAGTTGGAGGTTGCTGTAAGCTGTGTGACGCCACGGCACTCTACCAAGGGTGACAAAGTGAGACTCTGTCTCTACAAAAAAACTAATAATTAATTAATAAAATAAAAATAAAAATACACAAATGAAAGCTGATGAGCAAAAGGAAAGGTCCAGGCATACTTTTCAAAACAACTGGCACCACAGATAAGTCCTCAAATAATCATGCAACATTCGGGCCACAGGTTGGACTCCCCTGCAACCTGGGTCAGTCTTGCATCTTCTGTGTGGCTGCTCTCTAACCACATTCATTGATGACTTGGTCACTGCCTAATGAGGAACTGCTCCATCTTTGTGAGTCCTTGCACTCTATTGCCTGGGAAAGCACTCTGCACATTAAAAATGTATCCATATATGGATGAATGGTGGGTGGAGAGATGGAGGGATGAATCTAGTAAGGGAAATGAGTAAGGCAGTCTACACAGGCACAAGAGCACAGAGGCCCGCTCTACAACCAGAGCCATTGGAGGGTAAAGTGCCAACAGGTGTTTGGAGCCATGAGGGTTGATGAAGGAAGGCTTCTCAAAGAGTGGAATTTTAAAGCAGGACACTATGGCGCTACAGACAGGAGAGATAGGAGCCCCTCCCCACCCAGGAGCCCAGCTTCCTTTTGCTGTGCAGCCACAGCTGTGCCCACTAATGCTGAGGCACAGATTGTCCAGATGCTGAGGAAAATAGAATGTTCCACCCCTGCTCAGCTGCCCTGGCCTCTCTAAGAGTCAGGTTCATTGGCAGGCCTGGGTTCATCGAGGTAGGGAGGGAGGGTCTCAAAGCCTAGAGCTGCTTCAGGGTCACCCTGATGTAGCAATTATCATTCAGGAGTGAGACAGGCCAGGGCCCCACCTCACCCAAACTCCATTCTCCTCTGTCTACTCCCACCTGCCTACCTTTCCTCTGCTGTTCCTTGTCGCTTCATCCAGGGCATTAAAACCCTGGAGGTTCCTGGGCAGCGCCTGTGGCTCAGTGAGTAGGGAGCTGGGTGGTGGGTTCAAACTTGGCCCCAGCCAAACAACAACAAAAAATAGCCCAGCGTTGTGGCAGGCACCTATAGTTCCAGCTACTTAGGAGGCTGAGGCAAGAGAATTACCTAAGCCCAAGAGCTGAAGATTGCTGTGAGCTGTGATGCCACAGCACTCTACCAAGGGCGACAAAGTGAGACTCTGTCTCAAAAAAAAAAACACTCTGGAGGTTCCACAAGAAGAACGGGGTCAATGGGAAAGGAGAGTCAGAAAAGAGAGGCCCAGCAAAGAGGCCTGCAACCTGTGATTCCCCATTGCCTTTTGGGTAGGAACCTTGTAAATACAGCAGCAGCCCCAATAAAAACTCTGAAGGAAAAGAGAATTCTGACCAGATTTAGAGACTGAGGAGCCTGGGCCTCGCAACCCAAGGCTCTCAACCCAAGGCTCTCCGGACCCTAAAACTTCAGACTGCCCCCGCCTTCCTTCCTTAGCCCTTCTCATGTGGACCAGCAGGTGGCACCACCAACAGGGATTTCAAAACCAAAACTAAATTAAAGTGGAAACTCAGATTTTTTTGTTTATGCAAATAGTTTGTTCCCTACAACATTCCTCCGGGAATGCACCCCCCCCACCTCTACAGCATTCCCTCCCCGTCCCTCCTCCTCCACATGCCCTCCTGCTCCCTCCACGCACAGTGCACAAAGAGACGCTGTCAGGAGAACCCAGAATCCGAAAAGGGGCCTTGAGAAATGTGAGTAAAGCTGATGGGTACCAGGGAGAGAGGGGGAAGCCAGGGAGAAAAGCCTGGGCACAGGAAGCCATCCAGGATTATCCTGGGAGGTGGGAACAGGCTTCTCCTGCCCACATACCCGTCTATCCCATTGTGTAGGAGCATGGGTACATACAACACAGACCCCATCCCTGCTCCTGAGGTCCAGAGGAGACCTGACTTAGGAGCTAACGCCAAGTTCTCTTTACTTCTGCACTCACAGCAGGGAGTAGTGAGGGGAGAGGACTCTCCACGAGTGTGTCTCACACTCCATGGATAGTCACTCCCAGAGACCTTTGCTGTATGTTTGGGAGTCCTTTCTGAAAGCCATGACTGGAAACACTCACCTTCAATTAAGTGGTCCCAAGCCAATCCTCTTCCTGGAGGATTGGGAGGGAGGGAGCTGGGCAGACAAGGAGGCCTGGGGAGGAACTGTGATGGCAGTGTGGTGACCTCTGGACTGCGCACTGCCCAGGAAAAGGACATCGGATCCAGCAGTGGCTGAGGTTGGCCTCCCCACTCCCTGCCCCCACTGACAACATCTCTGTGAGATCCAGAATGGTCAGCAAAGAGAATGGACAGCTGTATGACCATCCCATCCCCCACCCCAGACATTGCACAGACAGCACACAGATACCCTTTAGCACCACAGATACCCTCTTTTGCTTTGACAGGTGGCTCTTGTACCTCCTGGTGCCCACCCTGTTCTGCAGGGTGGGGAGCTCCAACCCCATCCCTCAGAAGCTCTTTGGAGAGGTGACTTCCCCTCTATTCCCCAAGCCATACCCCAGCAACTTCGAGACAACCACTGTGATTACAGTCCCCACAGGATACAGGGTGAAGCTCTTCTTCTGGCACTTTGACCTGGAGCCTTCCGAAGGCTGTTTCTATGACTATGTCAAGGTAGGGGACAGGCTGGGTGGGCAGGGGGGAGGAAAAGCAGGGCTCTTAGTGCAACATTTCAAGCCCTGGACACTGCCCTATAAGAGCTAATGACCAGCTGGAGCTCTGGCAGTCAGGTGATGCCCTGGGGAAGGGGTGTCCACTGGCTTAGTGGCCCTCAGGGAGCACTGAGGGGAGAAACAGAGAGGAAGTAGAGACACATCCCACTCTTAGGAGAGTCATGTTTACGGGAGTCAGAAAAATCTTCCCATCTGCTGACTAACTGGGAGTCTTTGGGAAACCACTGTGCCTCATTCTCCCCATTTCCATGGAGAATATCACCATGCTGCTGGCTTCAACAGGAACGCAGGAACATGAGGAAGAGAAAAGTGTGCTCTGGCAGGACGGTGGGCTCAGTCCCTTCACCTCTGTGACAACAAAGGGTACCTTCCTGATCTGGTCCCAACTTCCTATACCCAATAAAGATGAACTTCAAGATTCAAGCAGAGCTTATGAATGTCCAATAACTATCATTCCTGGGAGACACCCCCCCAACCGTAGGTTATGAAAGACTGTAAAAGGGGCACATCTTCCTAGCCCAGAAGATTGGGCAAGTCCGTAGTGCTGCAGGAAGGACATTTAGTGGCAGGGAGAGTGGAAAATAGAGGGAGGGATTCTTATGCTTTTGCAGGTTTGAGACATCTGTGAGGAGAGAGGTAAGGAAAGCTCTGTGGTAACTGACAATGCTAAGGCCAGCCCCAGGGCTCATGCTCAGCTGAGCATATCCGGGCTCAAGGCTGGGTGTGAATGGCTGGAATTAGGTGAGGTAGGATAAGAAAACAGAAACAGCCCAGGTGTAGTGACTCATACCTGTAAATTCTAGCACTTCAGGAGCCCAAGGCAGTAGGATCACTTGGCCCAGGAGTTTAAGATCAGCCTGAGCAATTATAGCAAGACTCCATCTCTGCAAAAAATAATAAAAAAAAAAAAAAAACATACATGGCGGCATGTATCTGTAGTCCTAGCTACTGAGAAGGGTAAGGCAGGAGGATAGAGGATCACTTGAGTCCAGGATTTCAAGGTTGCAGTGAATTATGGTTGCACTACTGCACTGTAACCCAGGCAACAGACTAAACCCCTGTCTCAACAAAAAGAAGGGGAAGGGGAAGAAGAAGAAAAGAAGACAAAGAAGAAGAAGAGGAGGAGGAGAAAGCAAGCAAGCAAGCACGCAAAGCAGTGCAGGTGCTAGGAAGGCAAGGTTGATGAAGGCTGAATGGAGATGGCCAGTATTCCAGTGGTGGGGTGAGGAAAGATCTAAGGGGTACCAGACACAGGAGAGCGTGCAAAGAGTGAGTGCATGGTGACATGGGTGACAGGTGAGAGTACCATGGAGGACACTGCAGCAGGCAGACTCATGGTGGGGCCTGATGCCCTCTGGGAAGGAGGACAGCCACCGCTGCCACGTGCACACAACTCCCTAACAGGGTTTCTTCCTGTCCCTGTCCCTGTCCCTGTCCCTCCACCAGATCTCTGCTGATAAGAAAAACCTGGGGAGGTTCTGTGGGCAGCCAGGATCTCCACTGGGCAACCCCCCAGGAAAGAAGGAATTTCTGTCCCAAGGGAACAAGATGCTGCTCACCTTCCACACGGACTTCTCCAATGAGGAGAATGGGACCATCATGTTCTACAAGGGCTTTCAGGCCTACTATCAGGCTGTGGGTGAGTGGCCTCCACCATGTTGAATGGGGGCTGGAAAAGAGGAATCTTGAATCCAAAGAAGCCAAAAGCCTGGCTTTCCTTGTCCCCTCCCCTCAGGTGAGCTTTTCCATAAGGGGTCCACAGACCTGGCTTCTGTCCCCATTGGGCAGTTCCCAGAGAGCACTAGAGAGGACTCAGAGTCCAGGTTGCTGGAGCCACCTTTGTCTCTAGGCCTCTGGCAAGTGCCCTCACTGAGACCAAAGCCCCTACAGCTGTCTCCTAGTAGTTTAACCCTCCTCCTTGAATCCCTCCCAGACCTTGATGAATGTGCTTCCCAGCACAACTTGGCTGAGGAAGACCCCCAGCCCCAGTGCCAGCACCTGTGTCACAACTACGTTGGTGGCTACTTCTGTTCCTGTCGTCCAGGCTATGAGCTTCAGAAGGACAGGCATTCCTGCCTGGGTGAGCCAGAGCAGTATGGGAGGGAGGGAAGGATGCAGCCAAAACACCCCCATGACCCCCTGCCTCTCTGCTGTCAGCCGAGTGCAGCAGCGAGCTGTACACAGAGCCATCGGGCTACATCTCCAGCCTGGAGCACCCCAACCCCTACCCGCCGGACCTGCGCTGCAACTACAGCATCCGCGTGGAGAGGGGCCTCACCCTCCACCTCAAGTTCCTAGAGCCTTTCGAGATTGATGACCACCAGCAAGTGCGCTGCCCCTATGACCAGCTCCAGGTACAGCTGTCCTTCCCCTGCTGGCCCTCCCTCTCCTTCCCATCCCTTCTTGGCTCCTCTCTGACAATCTAGGCTGGGCAAGTTCCCACACAACCGGATTTGGGGCCTGGGGGGGATCCCTTTTCACCTTCATATGGCAATGTACACCGAGGCAGGATTCCACCCCCATTACCACCCTGGCCACCAGGCTGATATCAGTTGGCTCCTCATATAAATGTCCAAGCTGAAAGACAAACCTCCTCCCTCCCCCACTAGATCTATGCCAACGGGAAGAACATTGGCGAGTTCTGTGGGAAGCAAAGGCCCCCCGACCTTGACACCAGCAGCAATGCTGTAGATCTACTGTTCTTCACAGATGAGTCAGGGGACAGCCGGGGCTGGAAGCTGCACTACACCACTGACAGTAAGGCTGCCTGGGGGGGTCCCTCCCTGACCGGCAAGTAGGAGGTAGGGAGAAGGAAGGGCAAGTGGCTCTGAAACAAACAGCCCTCTGGTCTCCCCAACAGTCATCAAGTGCCCCCAGCCCAAGACCCTAGATGAGTTCACCATCATCCAGGACCTACAGCCTCAGTACCAATTTCGTGACTACTTCATTGTCACCTGCAAGCAAGGTTACCAGCTCGTGGAGGTAAGAGCCCAGGGCTGAGGGAGAGAGTGGTCCAGCTGTCCAGGAGGAATTCAGATAGGTAGGTCCCCAGTGGATGTAATCTCACCCCCAGCTTCCGTCAGCCCTGCTCCAGGGCTTTCTTATGCACATTGGTGGTCTCATCCTAAGCGCACCATCTATCCTCAGTCTCACAAAAGCTACTAAACTAAAATGCTGTTTTAAAAAACATACAATAGGGGGCGGTGCCTGTGGCTCAAGGAGTAGGGCGCCGGCCCCATATATTGGAGGTGGCAGGTTCAAACCTGGCCTCGGCCAAAAAA